GTTGGGACTTGGCTACTGCAGAAAATCCAACATGTCTTGGTATTGTCCATCTTCTCTTGGGAAAGCTGCAGATCCACCCAGGTAAGTTAGTCAGCATATTACCTGTGTTCTAATCCTGCCACCCAGCAGATATACAGTAGTCATTTTATCAATTACTATACAGTGGAACCTTAGCTTACGAATGCTCCTATTTATGAATTTTTCGGGTTATGTGCTCAATTTCTTCATAAAATTTGATTCGGTTTATGACATTTGCGTCGAGTTGCGAGTTTGTTGATACACGTATGGGTCAACCTAGTGCGAGGCTCCTGGTGGTACGGGCGACCGCGCCTCAGTTTACAAGTGCCTCCTGCGTAGTGATGATCGCGCTTCAATTCTATATAAAGAATTTCATTTTTTCAGCTGTTTTGGTTTCTATACATAAAAGTAATTATTATATACCATGCCTTGGGTCCCAAGAAAATCAGTGGTAAGGTTCAACCTGTGAAAACACACGTGAGGATGACCATAGAGGAAAAACAAGTTTCTATGGAAAGGGTCTTAGTAAGACGAGTCACAACCAGGTCCTAGTGGTATGCCTGCAAAACATGGGAGAGAAAATACCGCTGAGAAGTCATCACTTCCTGATGTTATAATGGAAGGGGACTCCCCTTCCAAACACCAACACCTCTCCTCCTCCCCTCCACACCGTCTTCCATACGCCAACAAGAGTCATCAATAAAGGTAAGCTATAACTTGTTCGTTCTATAGTACAAAATATTTGTGTTTTATGTATGAAATGTAGTTTGAAGTTAATATTTTTGGGAGTGTGGAACGGGCTAATTCAATTTACATTATTTCTTTTGTGGAAAATTTGTTTCGGGTTACGAATTTTCGCGTTACGAGCCGTTTCTGGGAACGGATGAAATTTGTAAATGAAGGTATCGTTGTACTTAACTCTTTAATGTTATTGATGAGAATAATTTTTTGGATTTTTCCTGTTGATATTATTCACTGCAAATCCTTCATTATTGTAAAATTGCCATTAACTTTAATTTGAATGCTTATTTACTCATCTAGCAGTACAGTAATATTTGATTGAGTCGCATGTTTTCAAGTAGCTATAGTTAAAGGTTGCTGATGCACTAAAATTTGCCTTTTTTATGGTATTATAAGGTACACCATTCTTGAGAACTGGAAACTGGTTTGCCTTCATGCACCTAGATAAGGAAGTTTTCATGATGTTTTTGATTATTTAGTTCAAATATGGTATTACTCACCTGAAAAAGCACAAATCAAAGCTAAAGAAATTTCAGTGATATGTTAAAAGGCTTAGCTATAAGAAAGGCTGAAGGAACCAGATATAATCATGCTAGAAGCTAGAAAAGAAGGGTAAGAGGCCATATGATCATTAAAATATAAAGATGCCTTAAAGCATTGACAAAGTGAACAAAACTAAATGATCAGCATGGACAAGAGTAGGACACAGGAGGGCACAGAAAATTAGAAGCTCAAATGTAGTAAGCAAGCCAAATGAACTAAAAGGGGATATAGTTGAGACTAATACATTACAAGATTTCATGAGTAGATATAAGTAAGAGAGTCAAAAGCTATTGTATATAATTTATTTTTCAGACCTGTCTCCAAGGTTGATGTTGGTATCTGGAGTGCGTAAGGTTGGCACCATAGGGGAGGGTCAGACCGTGTACTGCATAACACGTGTTGTCTTTCTTCCCTTGACTGCACCATTAGATTCAGAGTTAAATCTCCAGCAATGTCGAAAACATATGAATCATCCTGCTGGGTAAGCTTTTAACTCGTTGAAAAATAGTAGATTCTATAGATGTATTTTAATGTTATTGTTATATTGATTAATGAGGTATGGAAATTAATATTATATTGTTGAACCTGTTGGTGTAGAGCTCTTTTTGTTCGTACTGAGGCAATTTGTATTGTACAGTACTGTAATATGTTTTTACCTAATTTTCTGTTTGGGCATTACAGTCAGAATATTTATTATCAAAGCACAGTACCTGTATTGTAAAATTATTATTTTATGCGATAGTACAGTACTGTAGTTGGGTTTGCTCTCGACTCACAATCAGAAATTCTGGGTTCAAATTCTGGGTGGGACAAAAATGGTTGGACATGTTTCCTATCATCTAATCTAATGCCTCCATTCATCTAGCAGTAAATAGGTATCCAGGAGTTAGCCAGCTTGTTGTGGGGTTGCATCCTGGGGAGGGTCAGTAGTTTGACCTTTGGGTGAGGACCTCATAAGCCTAACATGTATATACACAGGCTGCTTGTTCCCTGACAAAATGAATTACAGTAATTATTATTATGAATGAAAGTAATTTTCCTTTCTAGGTAATTATATACAGTGTAATTAATTTTATAATTCTTTGAATTACCTTTTTTCATAGTTTTTGGAAAATCTCAAATATGTTAAAAGTTCACTGTGATGTTTCTTTCCTTTCAGTGGTGCTGGAGAGCGAAAATTAGGTTTGCCATTTGGAGATTTGCAACAGAAGGTTGCGCTTTCCAAAACATTTGGTACTATTCGTAGTGTCACATCAACGATCAAAACTGCAACAGTTAATGCTGCAGTAACAGCAACTGGACAGGTAAGGGTTTGTCATAGTAACCTGTTAGGATATTTTTACATAAGGTTGGAAATGCGACAAGATGGCACATGTGTAAATGATGTATCACAATAACATGGCTGAAGATATGATGACTACATCACACACCAGAAGATGAAGAAACGAAGATGTTTCGGTCCGTCCTGGACCATTATCAAGTTGACGTTCAACTTGATAATAGTCCAAGACGGACCGAAATGTTGTCGTTTCTTCATCTTCTGATGTGCGCTTTGGTTATCAAGATGGCAAATGCAGCATTGTGAGCTTGTCACCAGAAATATTATCACACCATTAGTACTCACATTCCACAAGTTCTATTTTTGTAGAAAACATCGTAATACATTAATTTCTGTGGAGAGCCCCTTCGGCTCCCCAGAGCTATACTGGACTGATGTGTATATATTAGACCGTGGAAACAGTCAATCGAAGAGTTCTAGGTCTACTGGGGACTAGAGCCAGAACCTGGCCCCCCTCAAGAGAGGCACAAGGAGCAATAGCCTAAAAACACCCCGTGTAATTGGAAGCAGTCTTTGTCTGCCATCTACCAAGTCAGGCACCCAGAAAGGTAGGAATTCCAAAACAAACTACTGCTGATTAAATAAATTCCAAACCAAAAGCCGAACTAGCAAACAGAACTCCCCAATCAAAACAAGGAAACAAGTATGACATCCCTACAAATGCTGCGCATCCATCTGCAGAAAATGGCGTTTCATTACATTCAACGCTGGTTTTCTGTGGAGAGCTCCTTCGAATACCCGAAGCTACCTAACAAAAGATAAAGAAAAAGAGGGACTTACCCGGGAAGCGGTCGTCATTCGCTCCTCAACTCGAAGTCGAGACAACTGGCTGCAACCTGCAACCCAAGGCTACACACACACAAGAAGGGCCAGGAACATTAACGAGGTACCGTGCAGCCAAGACCCTGTTCAATCTCCAAAACCCCCATGCCCGAATGTCAGCCCAGGACATATTCCCCAAAACAGCAGCCAAAGCTGCAAACTTGCGAATGTCATGGGCACGGGGATAGACCCCAGGCTGGCTGAACCAAATAATCCTGCGGACGACCTGGGAGACCCACGCCCTGGAACAGGGAAGAAGGGAAACTGGTTCCACCCAAAGTGCGTCACCTGTCACTGAGGCCGTGGCGCACAGATAACGGCGAAGAGCCGCAACTGGACACAAAGCATGATGCATCCCCGGCCGAATAAACCAAGCATCAACAACCTAAGGACCCCTTCGGAAAGCACCAGGCTCATTCTTCGCCAGAAAAGGAGAGGGCTGCAAACGAACGAAACGACCACCAGGACCAAAAGAGCAGAAACCCCTGCTCCGGAGGAGAGCATGAAGCTCCCCGTCCCAACCCCCAGAGGCCAATGCCAACAAGAAAAAGAGCCTTAAAAAAATAATCCTGAACTGAAGGAATCACCACAAACCGAGGAGAGGAGAGAAAAGAGAGCACCCGGTCCAACGACCAGGATGGCTCAGGCGGCTCATGAGCAGACCAGAGGTGAAATAATGCCCGAGAAAGCTTGCAGAATAGAGCAGAAGTGACATCCACCCTGAATGCAAGCTGCAGCGGCTCCGCCAGTGCTGCACGATACGAGGCGACAGTATTTAGCATAAGAAGAGTCCTGATACAACCAAGAAAGAAAGGACAAAACAACCCGATCAGAAATCGAAAACTACCTACGAAGAGACAAAAAAATGCTGAATGGACTGAAGAGAGTTGCCGGTGTGGAGGTTTGGGACCCTCCCGACCCCCTCCTGGGGAGGGGGGATTGCGCAGATGGATGTGCAACATTTGTAGTGACGTCATACTTATTTCCATGTTTTTGATTGGGGAGTTCTGTTTGCTAGTTTGGCTTTCGGCTTGCAATTCATTTGATCAGCAGTAGTTTGTTTTGGAATTCCTACCTTTCTGGGTGCCTAACCTGGTATATGGCAAAGACTGCTTTCAATTACACGGGGGTGTTTTTAGACCATTGCTCCTCATGCCTCTCTTGAGGGGGCCAGGTTCTGGCTCTGGTTCCCGGTAGGCCTAGAACTCCTTCGATTGACTGTTGCCACGGTCTAATATATACACATCAGCCCGGTATACCTCCGGGGAGCCTCTGGGTCTCGCCCAGAAAATGGCGTTTCATTACATTCAACGCTGTTTTTTTTTGTTATAATTGAAAAATATGTTGAATGATGGATAGTAAAGTGAAAAGCCCTTTTTTTAAAGGAAAGAATTAGGTATATAGAAATCTTAATTACAGTACTATATTTTGCAGAATATTTGTGTATAATAGTTTTTGTGTGTGACATGCAATTATGTCAATTTCTGGGGGGGATTCCTGTCAGCTCTCTGAAGGTATCCAAACTGATATGTGCTTCATTAGTTTGGGGTCATCAGTTCCATGGAGTTCTTAGTCTACCAGGGACCATAAGCCAGAACCTGGCCCCCCTCAGAGAAGTTCAGAGAGCAATGGCATATGAGCACTACATGTAAAGTATTGTCATATTCTGCCATTGACTGGGGTAGTAGCCGAGAAAGATAGGCGATCCAAAACAGACAACTAGCTGGTAAAATATGAGCAATTACCCCAAAAAGTGAAGAATTCTGTGTAAACAAAAGAAACTAAAAACGAGTAACTCTGTATGCAAACTAGTACTCCCGCTCGTTAGGGGGTCAGTCAGCTCAGGCGGCCCCACTGTCTGCCCCTCAGTTTGAATCCTGATGGAAAAACTGCCAACTGGAAGGAGGGAGGGTGTCAGGGAGCCTCTGGGGCTACCCCCAGAAAAGGGCGTTTCATTACATTCAACGCTGGCTTTTTTAATTGTTTAAAACAATGTCGTTATCGCTCTTTTTACCTCTGTTACTCTCATTTATTTTCTTTGGACAAATGCCTTTCCACCCCATGGAAGTGGACAATGAGAACAATTTCTGAATTATTTACAGAGACGTATAATTTGCTGAATCCTCTTGATAATTAGTGGAAGTCTGGCAGGTAACATTCTTGGCATCAGCATCATAAGGCATTTTTAAAGTAGTCACTGCTGGGTAAAAATGATGTTAAAAGGTCATTGGAAATTAGCTCAATCCAGCCAGGAATGAGAGACAGAAGGTATACAGTCCATGTGGTTAATGGCTTCAATACATCTCGTAAGTCACTAAAGATACTATTTGGATATGTATTTTTAGTTCTGAGTACAGTGGATCAAATCCAGCTGTTTTCTATGGCATCGTTATTTCTCCTCTGAGATCTGATTCCAAATTGCTTTGGACTTAGTATATTAAGTTTTGTAAAATAAAATGATAGCTGCTTATATATTCAGTTTAAAATATTTTCATTAAAATTGGTAGATTAGGTATTGGTCTGTAGATTTTTATACGAGGTGATTTGCCCCCTGTGTACCAGCATAGGAGTTGCTGTTTTAATTATATCAGGGAAGGTTTGAAATGTAAGTAATCTGCTGAAGAGTAAAGCAGTGGCTGGTGAAAACAGGTTAGCAGGTCTATTGTTATCATGGTTGGTATTTCAACATAATTAACAGCTTTGCTTATCAATGTGTTTGTATTATGGGAAAAATATCGGATTTATGGTAGGAATAGGAGGGAGGTATAGGAACTAGTAAGGTAAGTATTAATTGCACAAAGAAATCACATTAACGTGATGTATCAATGAGAAGATCAAGTAGGAGTCTTGAGGAGGATTTGTTCCTATGCTCAGGGCATCCCAAGCAAACACCTTAGACCATTACACCACGATATGGTAAAAGCAATGCAACCTGGGATTAAACTGAATCCTTTAGGGATCCTGAGGCTTCCAACTGAAGCCAAAGCAGGGTTTTAAACATTGTTTCCATGCACTGGTTGTAGTCTAGGAGTTCTACCCTCAACACATCTCTTCAAATATACAAAGAAATCACATTACCATGACATATCAACCAGACAATTGCTTGGGAGTACTCAGAGCATAGGTTTGAACCCTCCTCATGACTCCAACTGATTTTCTCAGAAGTATTAATGCTGGTATGGGAATGTTTTCTTCTACTAATTATAAAAGGCTGTTAAACTGAGTGATATATAGGTCAAAGGTTATCATCTTTCATGAGTTCTGATAGTTGTCTGAGAGCTTGTTAAATTTTAGAAAGTATTACATGGTTTTCCTTAACTAATTTTTATCAAATGATTTTCAATTATCAATTTGTATAAAATTTAGTTTGCTAATTAACTGTTTTACTTGAAAATTGTGGCATTAATAGCACTTTTGCTTTTATAGTTTTAATCATGCCAAAGTTCAAGACAGCATAAATGTGCTTCAGGGTGCAAGAGCTCGCAGGGATGGAAGGGACAAGGAACGATATGAGCGACGAGTTTTGGATGAGTTAATGAAGATGTTTAATGACTCCGACTCCTTTTACTACTCTTGTGAGGCGGATCTCACAAGCTCCTTACAACGGCAAAGTGACTCCTACAATGCTAGTCTACCGCTTTGGCGCAGAGCGAATGATTATTTTTTTTGGAACAAACATATGCTTATAGATCTCATTAATCAAGAGGTAAGGAAAATGAAATTTTTTGTTCAAATTACATGTAACAATGTTTTGTTAGACAAAAAAATGTTGCATTTCATAATTCCAATTCCAAGTACTGTACAGTACTGTATTATGTTAAAAATATAATGGTTCAGTAATAGATTATTTATGTAAATTTGCATATATAAAGTAGGTCATGTGTATACATTGTGCCTGGCTGTCACCCATCAGGGTGAGGAAGCTGGCTGTCACCTTCCCTCTCTGAAAGCTTGTCTCTAACTGAATCTACCAGCCACCTCCAACGTGGGAAAGCTGTGTACGTATTCTTCCTCATGCCCAAATAGGGACTGAGAAGCAAAACTAACCCTTACAGGACCCAGGCTGGTCCTGCAGTACACAAGGCCCTCCTTGTTGAGTACTGCTGTGTCAGCGGATTGAAGCTAGTCAAAAACCCTCGTATTACCTCGCACCACATCAACACGCACACACACACACACACACACAGGGGAGATAGGGGGATATGTAACAGTGCAAGTATTTTCCACTCTTTCATGTATAATTGTGAATTATAATTGTGGGTGGGTGTGTGGAAAAATAATTAAAACTAAATGAGTAGAACACCTGGAGAAAAACAATATAATATCAGACAGACAGTATGGTTTTCGATCTGGAAGATCCTGTGTAAAGAATTTACTCAGTTTCTATGATCGAGCCACAGAGATTTTACAGGAAGAGATGGTTGGGTTGACTGCATCTATCTGGACCTAAAAAAGGCTTTTGACAGTTCCACATAAGAGGTTGTTCTGGAAACTGGAACATATTGGAGAGGTAACAGGTAAGCTTCTAACATGGATGAAAAATTTTCTAAATGATAGAAAAATGAGGGCCGTATTCAGAAGCAATGTACTTGATTGGAGGAATGTCACAGGTGTAGTACCACAGGGTTCAGTTCTTGCATTGGTAATGTTCATTGTCTACATGAACGATCTACCAGATGGAATACAGAATTATATGAATATGTTAGCTGATGATGCTAAGATAATGGAGAAGATAAGAAAACTAGATGACTGTCATGCCCTTCAAGAAGACCTGGACAAAATAAGTACAGTATATGGAGCACCACTTGGCAAATGGAATTTAATGTGAATAAATGCCATGTTTTGAATGTGGAATTGGAGAACATAGATCCCACACAACCAATAAATTATGTGAGAAATCTTTAAAGAATTCTGATAAAGAAAGAGATCTAGGGGTGGTTCTAGATAGAAAACTATCACCTGAGGACCACATAAAGAACATTGTACGAGGAGCCTATGCTACGCTTTCTAACATCAGAATTGCTTTTAAATACATGGATGGGGAAATACTAAAGAAATTGTTTACAACTTTTGTTAGGCCAAAGCTAGAATATGCAGTGGTTGTGTGGTTCCCATATCTTAAAAAGCACATCAACAAACTGGAAAAGGTGCAAAGACATGCTACAAAGTGGCTCCCAGAACTGAAGGGCAAGAACTACGAAGAAAGGTTAGAGGCATTAAATATGCCAAAACTAGAAGACAGAAGAAAAAGAGGTGATATGATCACTACATACAAAATAGTAACAGGAATTAATAAAATTGATAGTGAAGATTTCCTGAGACCTGGAACTTCAAGAAAAAGAGGTTATAGATTTAAACTTAACTAAACAAAGATGCCGAAGAAATATAAGAAAATTCACTTTCACAAACAGAGTGGTAGACGGTTGGAACAAGTTAATGTGAGGTGGTGGTGGAGGCCAAAACCGTCAGTAGTTTCAAAGCGTTATATGACAAAGAGTGTTCTTCGGTTTAAGAGTTTAATCTGTTCCTGGAGACGGCTCATAACCCGAAAACAAATAAACTGTGGCTAATTTCCTCATAAGAAATAATGGGAAATGAATTAATCCGTTCCTGACTACCCAAAAACCTCACTTCAAACTAAATTTTATACCTAATTCATCGAAGTCTACACTACAAAACTATGTTCAAGTTATTAATTACCCTTGCTGATGACTGCTGTTGGCGTATGGAAGATGGTGAGGAGGGGGGAGGAGAGGTATTACATTTTAGAAGGGGCGTCCCCTTCCATTATAACATCAGGCAGTGAGGACCTCTGGGGTGCATTCTCTGGCACATTTTGCCTGCATACCACTAGGTCCTGGTTGTGGCTTACTGCTCGATGTTCTCACAACAAAGCGGTTCATTGATGATTGATTTTCCCTTCTTCGCAAGATGTCTCTGTAGTGAGGCATCACATTGTCATTGAAAAGATTAATGCAACGACCTACTGCAGCTTTCTCTGGGTGAGTCGTTTCAATAAAAAGTTTGCATTTCTTCCCACATCTGACACCACTTCTTAATGGTTGCGGAAGGGACATTCGCTGCTGCCTCATCCACCTCCACTGGAGAAACATCTTCAGCTGTATCTTCTTGCTGTTCCTTTTGAAGGGCTTGGAGTTGTTTGGTGGTCAGTTCTTCGTTGTGTTCTTCCACCAACTCCTCCACATCATCACCATCCAATTCCAAGCCCATTTGCCAGCCCAGAGTAACAATTTCCTCAACAATAGGTACATCATTTACAGGCTCAAACCCCTCAGTCTAGTTCTGTTACACATTCAGGCCACAATTTTCTCCAGCCAGAGATCAGGGTTCTTTGAGTCACTTCTTGCCAGGCTTTGTCAACGAGTTTTAAAGCATATAAATGTTAAAATGGTGTTTCCAGAACTTTTTGAGGGTGAGTTTTGTGGCTTCAGTCACTTCAAAACATTTCCGGAAAAGTTCCCTATCATAAAGTTTCTTAAAATTCACTATGATTTTATGGGCCATAGGCTGAATTAGAGGAGTGGTGTTAGGAGGAAGGAACTTTATTGTGAGAAATTTACTGTATCTGTGCAACAATTCATTTTCCAAGCCTGGAGGATGAGCAGGAGCATTGTTGAGGAGAAGCAGGGCCTTGAGTGGCAAATGTTTCTCCTGCAGATATTTTTCTATGGCAGGGCACACCACTTCATTCACACCACTGGGAGCCGGTCGGCCGAGCGGACAGCACGCTGGACTTGTGATCCTGTGGTCCTGGGTTCGATCCCAGGCGCCGGCGAGAAACATTGGGCAAAGTTTCTTTCACCCTATGCCCCTGTTACCTAGCAGTAAAATAGGTACCTGGGTGTTAGTCAGCTGTCACGGGCTGCTTCCTGGGGGTGGAGGCCTGGTCGAGGACCGAGCCGCGGGGACACTAAAAAGCCCCGAAATCATCTCAAGATAACCTCAAGATAACCCATGCCTTATTATTAGCCCTCCACATCACACACATTTGGTTTTTCTGCACTTTATACTGTTTAAAAACCCTTGGATTTTCAGAATGATACACTAGCAAGGGTTTAATTTTCAAATCGCCACTCGCATTTGAACGCAGCACAAGTGTAAACCTATCTTTCATAGGCTTGTGTCCAGGCACTGATTTTTCCTCCTTGGTAATGTATGTCCTCTTAGGCAATCTTTTCCAGAACAATCCTGTCTCATCACAATTAAACACCTGTTGTGGTAGGTATCCCTCAGCCTCTGCAAACTCTTTAAATTCTTCAATAAATCTTTCAGCCGCTGGTTTGTCTGAGCTGGCAGCCTCCCCATGCCTCACTACACTATGAATACCATTTTTTTTCTAAATTTCTCAAACCATCCCCTGCTTGCCTTAAAGTCTTTCGTATCTGCACTTGTTCCAGGAGTTTTCTTTACAAGGTCTTCGTGCAATACCTTGGCTTTCTCACAAATGATGGCCTCTGAAACACTACCACCCTTTAAATCCTTGTCATGTATCCAAATTAATAACAACTTTTCCACATCCTCAAGTATTTGTGGTCTTTGTTTGGTGATTGTTGATACACCTTTTGCCACTTTAGCACTCATAATGTCCTTTTTCTTGGCAAGTATAGTGCATATCGTTGACGTGGATTTGTTGTACTGCCTACAAAGTTCAACAACACGTGCACCATTTTCATGCTTCCGAATGATCTCTTGCTTTTCCTCTATTGTCATCTTCACATGCGATTTCTTGCCTTGAACCTTACCACTGGCCTTCTTGGGACCCATTGTGATATATATTATAAAAAATTTTATGCTGAAATAGCAAAAACTCCGAAAACAAACGGTAAATCCTTGTGAAGAATTCAGGCGGGATAGTCACCGGGCGCGAGGCACTGTAAATTGAGCGGCGATCGCCGTGTCACCATGCACTAGGTCGCCCTGTACGCGTATCAACACCCTTCGTATCCTGAGGCAACCCTCATATCCCGATACAAATTTTCCAAGCAAATCCTGCTTGTAATCCGAAAAACTCGTTACCAGGGACACTCGTAAGCCGAGGTAGCACTGTATCAATGTAAAACCTATTTTATTCATCATTACTAAGTAGTGCTGTGGCCTTAGTTGCACAGCGGTGCTGTGAGTTGCTCCTGCATGCGCCAGCCTTGGTCGCTTTCTCAGTACTGAGGCTCTCAAAGCAAGTACAGATGCTGACAATTTTTTTCCAAGATGATGTATGTTTACTAAAATTCTGAGGCACAGGATGTTAGCCTCATGTAGCCGGAGAATTTTGAATTGCTCCCTATATGTAAAAGTGCCATATGACACTACGCAACCCTAATCGGGTGTCTTAAGTCAATCTGCGCAGTGCAGTGATTAAAGTTTAAGTTAAATACTTTTGGTGTAGTTATGATAGTTTTATGTACCTAGACCCTCAGAACACTTTTTTTTTTTTAATATTTTAAATTCTAATTTCAACAACAAGTTCAACAGCACTGTCTGTATTGTAGTCTTTTAACCTCATACCCTTAAATATAATCTTTATGGTATTTTTCTTCAGACTCTGTACTAGTGTCAATTGTGATTGTTATCCAATGTACAGAATTTTCTCACAGGTGATTAATGACATGAAAATATTCTGTTGGCAGGACACAAATTTTGACGTGTGGATTGTTCCTGTGATACAGGGCTTTGTACAAACGGAAGCCGTACCCCTTGATGCAGCTGTAATTTCTCCTGATGATTCCGATGATAAACAAGTAAGTCAGAACTATGTACATTTTTTCTGTGAGGGATACCCTACTTGAGATGAAATTTAAGGCAAAGAAATTTATAATAGGAACTATTTTTTCCTTTTCTTTTTCTCACATTGTGTGATAATTATATACAGTTGTGATTTTAGTTATAAACTGATACCTCAGCCTCCATGTAATATTTATAGAACATCTTTTGAATATTAACTTAAAAAATTAAAACACCTTTGTGTGATGGTACTGTATATGGAAGATTAGTATTGTGCGATGCAATATTTGAAGAACACTTGAATATTGACATGAAATGTAAAACATTTTTGTATGATGGTACTATATAATGAAGATTAGTATTGTAATTGTGCGGTAGAGTTTTTTTAATACAGTTGTTAAATTTAAAACCAATTCAAAAGTTTGCTAGGGAAGGGATATGACCTTGTGCAAGATCTCAACAACAAATAAATATAATCTTGAAAAATGCATAAACAAATTTGCAAATACTGTATTGAGGAATATTTCTAGTAGTCACAAGAAGTATATTAGCTTGGTAGTTTCAAGAATTATACTGTACTAAGTTCAGGCAGGTGGATGGATGGGCTTTAAACATATTGTGCAGGGGAAGGGGGAGGGCAGTATTTAAGATTAAGCAAGAGGGATAGGATAGATGGGGAGTGATCAGGCAGGAAAGAGGGATGGAATGGTTGGGCAGGAAAAATAGGTGTGTGGATGATTGAAGGGGATCAGGCAGGTGGGCGGCAGGGATCAGGCAGACAAAGGAGATTGGCTGGAATGGATTGTGTGATTTTCTGTGGGGAGCCCCTCTGGCTTCCTGGATCCAGGCAGGAAAGAGGGAAGCAAACTGATATATGCTATATTAGTCTGGGGCATCAGTCAATTGGAGTTCTGCCTACCAGGGACCACGAGCCAGAAGCTGGCCCCCTCAGAGAGGCACAGGGAGCAATGGCTTATGGAAACCCCCATGTGTTTGGAAGCATGCCATGTCTGCCATCGACTGGGGTTAGGCACCCAGAAAGGTAGGCATAACAAAACAAACCCCACCTGGTAAGAAATTGCAACTGAAGACCGAACAGAGAGACAAAACTCCCCCAAAAACATAAGGAAACAAGCAAATGTCATTTACCACCACCCCGCCGCTTGTATACGGAGCCCATGCCCCGGACCCCGCCCCCATGTCGGCTACTCACACTTCCAGTTCGTAGGCTGCTTCACTCTGGGGTGGTCGTCGACGTGGGTCTCGATCTCTTGGCGGATTTGTTCCTTAGTAGTGTTTCCTGCTCTTTGTGGTGCAGTGGCCAGGAGAAAATTCAGTGTACTGGGGCTGCATGCGCTTAGGGGCTACCTTCCCTAAGCACCCTGTAAGTACTACCCTTGGGTTCTAGGGTTAACGTCTATAGACTTTGGGATTCCACTTCCGTAGGGGGTTTTTGCTGCTCGGCATTTATCCTGCTCTTGGGGACAGCTGAGGTTTTGTGGCCTTCATTTGGCCTTGGGAAGAGTCATGACCGGGTTGTGGGGGACAACCGCCAGAGTCCTGACGGTTTCCAGGCCGAGCCTCATGATCCATATTGTTGGGGGAGCCGGTGGCTGAGTGAACAGAACATTGGACGCGTGATCCTGTGGTCTCGGGATCGATCCAGGGCGCCGGCGAGAAACAATGAGCAGAGTTTCTTTTACCCTGATGCACCTGTTACCTAGCAGTAAATAGGTACCTGGGAGTTAGTCAGCTGTCACGGGCTGCTTCCTGGGGGTGGAGGCCTGGTCGAGAACTGGGCTGCGGGACACTAAGCTCCAAAATTATCTCAAAGATAACCTCAAGATTGGGTAAGAAGTGGTGTTGTTGCTGATTAGGGTGCAAGGTGCTGCGCTGCTCGCTTACCTACACGGTGGCTATGTTCCTGTTCCTTCTGGTGGCGTTGTGCTTTTGCGGAGTTTTTCATTTATTTTTATTTTCTTGCCATTAGAGGGGGTCCGCCTTGTTTGCCTATTAGTCCACATAGGGTATTTTGGTGGCCCTCCTCTAGGCTCCTCGTACTTGTACACATCACAAGAGTCCAGTTAATAACTCATTCCCCTTTGTTAGCTTTTGGGTTTAACTAGCTAGCAGTACCTTGCCTGGGCTTCCCATGGTAGACAGCTTATGGGTCCTGGAAAACCCTGTCGGGGCTCGGTTGACTGATGGATGTGTCAACCGATTTCCACTTCGTCTTGTGCGAGATTGAAGGCTGTTCTGTGCCCTTGTCTCAGGGTGACAGTCGCCTGTTTTGTCTTGGTGATGCTGCCTATTGGGTCAACGACACCTTTGACCTGGAGTCTTGCAAGATGTGTTCTCTGCTCGAGCTCCAGTTTACCCATTCTATTATCACTGAAATCCGGGTTCAGGTGGCATCCGCTTTGCATACTCAGTTTTTGTTGCTGCAACGTGCTAGGTTGGTTGTCCGCTTGGGTGTCCCAGGACTGCCCCGTTTTGGTTACAGGGACCCGGACTTGGGGGCATTAGTCTCTTGACTTTGGTTAAGTCTTTCCCCAGTTCGTGCTGTTTGCCATGCTCCATCCATCCCCCTGCTCCTGGCTCCCAAACGTCTGAGGGTTTCGTAGTCGGGGCAGGGTTAAGTAGGTGTTGAGGCTCAGGCGGGTTCGGGGGCTACCCCATTTGAGTCTGCTCCTCCTTCCGAGGCATCTGGGTCCTACCAGCAGACCCCCCTTCTTTCCTGCCTTTCCCCTGGACTCTGGCTTTTCTTCAGGGGTGGAGGTCATGGAGGACGGCTCTGCCCCGGGGATGGGGAGGAGTTGACCTGGGGGCTTTGATCCCGCTTGGGTTTTGGTGCCCTGTTCGCGGAGTTTGTTGTTGCAGGGGGAGGGATTTTCCTACCCCCAATGCCTGTATTAGTATGATTTTGGATCTGCTCCTCCTCGGGTTCGGTTCTGGGTTCCCTGGGTTCCTCGGCTCCCTCTTTCCAGAGGTTTTCTGCCTCTCGAATCTCGCCTAAGGAGGTTCGGGAGGCCATTGCAACTTACCTCCTGCGTGGTTCTGCTACCATTCTGCATGTTTACCTGGAGGGCGGGTTTCACGCGCTTTAATGAGTGCTTATTTGCCTCTGTGCTTCCACAGGATGTTGGCCCTTGTACAGGTGCATGTGCAGGTTCCCACCCTTTCGGTATCCTTAGCTGGTGAGGACTTGCGCACTCGCACACATTTGGTCTCAGTCTTGCGCTTCTTTCTCCCTTCTCGAATTGTCCTTGGACTGGCTTGGGGAGGATGTGGAGGCATTGATTGCTGGCTCTTCATCTGGGGGTGCTGGCCGCAACAGCTAGTGTGTCGACCACGCTGTTAAAGCTGTTTGTGCCGATTCTCAGGGGAAGCGGTGTCTATGTGCTTTGCTTCTCGCCTCGCATGCCGTCAGGCCATGCTTGCTCTCTCCTTGGAATCTGGTTGGGCCCTGGATCTTAGGTTTTCGTCACCTTTTTGTCCATTGCTGTTTGCGGAAGCTGCTGTCACTCAGTTTTTGTCGGTGGCCCCGTCTAGTTGTCATCCTATGTCGGATTTGTTGCTTCTCTAGGGTGGCCGGTCTTGGGCTTCTCGGAAGGGTCGGGCCAGGGCTCAGGGTTTTTCTGGGCTGTTGGTGCCAGTTTCGGAGCTGGCACTTTCTTTGGTATCGGCGTCATCTGGTCAGCGCAATGCTCGCTTTGCTCATCGGTCGACTTCTCGTGAGAAGAGTTTCTGCTTCTTTGTGGGCATTTCGGGTTGTGTCCTCTGGCCTGTGGCCAGTGGACGGCGGCTCCTTCAGGGGGTTTGGGCCTAGCGGGGCAGGCTTCTTTTCCTGCGCTCCGTCAGGTCATTTTGGAGTGGGTGCGCTTTGGCATGGTCAAAATGACCTCATCCCTCAGGTGGGTTTCCCGCCTGTTTCAAGCTCTGTGGTTCATTCTGGACTTGTCCCATCTGAACCCCTGGATTCTTTATGTCTCCTTTCTCATGACCACTCTGTCCAAGGTCCGACTTATTTTTGGAGTCGGGTTCTTGGATGGTATCTCTGGACCTCTGGGTGGCATGTCCCAATTCACCCTGAGTTCAGGGATTAGCTCAGTTTCATTGTGAGGTGGCAAGCTTACTGCTTTCGTTGCTTTCCTTTTGGCTTGAATCTGGCACCTCACATATTCACACGTTTTACCCGGGTCGTGGTGTCCCATCTGCTTCTGCTAGGGGATCGGGTTCTGGCCTACCTCAACGACTGGTTGGTGTGGGCTCCAAGCTGGTCTGCTTGTCTGATCGTCAGGGGTGTGGTTCTTTCCCAGCTTGCCAGGTTGGGTTCCTGGTGAACTGGAGGAAATCCCATCTGGTTCCGTCCCAGGTTCGGACCTGGCTGGGCCTTGTGTGGGACTCTAGGACCTATTTCTGGTCTCTTCCTCTGGAGGTGTTACTGCGAATGCAGTCCCACCTTCAGCTGTTTCTGGTGGGTTCCTGGATCACTCGGCAGTTGCTCGAGCAGCTGTGCGGGAGTCTGAACTTTGCCGTGCAGGTTTACCCATTGGGTCGGGTCTGGCTTCAGCCTCTGTTAGGGTTCCTTCGGGGACGTTCCTTCCGCCTCTCTTGCGATAGCTGGATTTGGCCTCCAGGGCCCCTTGAGTTGTTGGATTTTTTTGGGTTCAGTGCCTTGGCACCTACCCGAGCCCTCACTCGATGTGTTCACAGATGCCTCGTCTCTCGGCCGGGGTTTTGTGACTAGTGCTCACCAGGCCGGCCAGGGGCGGTGGGCTCTGTCCTTCTTTTGGGCATGGTGCAGGAGTTCGTAGAGGTTTAGTTGTTGCTTCGGAGGGTTCGGGGACGCTTGGGGTTCTACGATCCGGCACCAGTCGGACTGCTCTCTTGTGGTTCTTTGTCTGAACTGCAGAGTTCTCTTTGGTCCTTGGCTCTTTGGGGCTGATTGCTTCGAGTGACTTGTCTGCTGGATTCTTGGGGTTTGGCTCTCCTGGAGGTTCATATCTGGGGAGTG